ATATTTACTGAGTGGATATCTATATATCTGTTTTTGCAAATGTCAGACTAATTCCTAAGGTAGACAGATTGGATTCAATAATGAGTTGATGAACGCATTTCTCCTAATGATCTCGACACGAAGTTCTAACTAAACGAGTACATCACCACAACTTCTGATGGGAAAACAAGAGCATACGTGTTCATGGCTACAGCTGCAACAAAGGGTGCCGCATGTGCTTAACGTCTTCCTGAGGGAGGGTGGAGTGGGTATGAAATGGTAGAGAATGGGCAAAAACCAAAGAAAGATATCAAAGTGGAAATAAACTTACCTTGGGTAGCAATGTAATGATTGGGTCGATGGTAACCCTAAAAATAAACGAGAAAGAATATTTGATAAACTTAAAATCAACAAGCAGCACAGAAGTCACGTGCTACATTTGCCACGATGAATGCACACACAGAGACCAACAACTGCATCACCTGAAAGTTAAATCGTGAGACCAGTACCATTGAGTTTCCCTTAATAAGCAAAGGTGCAACCAATGTAACAGCTCTGAGCTTGCACCGAAGGTGTGGGGAACTTAATCACACACCAGCTAGATGATGGATGAGCAATAAACACTAACAACTTATGGATTCTCTGAAATAACATGGCCATGACTCGTAGAAAGTTCAAACAGGCTGGGGATGTGTAATAGGATTTCATTTGTGTTTGGGATGTTATTGGCAATGTGCCAAGGGTTTAAAACATATTCTGTTATATCGGTATAGACAGTTATATCAATAGTGATTCTCAAAATCATTCTTAAATACTGCTAAAACCATGACATGATATTGTAGCAAGGGCCAGGAATTTAAAGAGGTAGAAATTGTGCAAGACTCCTTCCCTTTATCAAGACCCTATAAGAAGCAAGGAGGATAAAAATTGGTACCAAATAAAGAAGGGAACAAAGAAGTTGTAGGATAAGTATCTGGAAAAACCAGAGCCAACTCAGAGAAACCACACCCCGGTAACATACTAACTATATCACCATGGACCGTAACATGCTCCATTTCCATCTCTTGAGATCACCCGAAAGACTGTGCCCAGAGCATGCCCGCAAAAGAAACCCGAGGAGGAAATACAGATTTCTCAGACAACTTAAATGCATATTTGTGAGATTGGTGTTTTGCTCTCCAAAACAAGTGGACAACAATGAACAGCAAAAGCAAACACATTCTTTTATACAACTGACCTGCTGCCCATCTCAAATTACAGAATCGTGACCAATATACACAGGATTCTTTAGACAGCCCCTCACTTCCCGTCAGCTGGTGAGTCCCGCAAGGACAAGGGCTCTGTCTGGCTCACTCCCTCTGTGTGTCTGGGGCCTGGCCAGGTGCCGAGTGGACAGCAGGGACTCGTCTGATAAACTGAAGTTGCCCACAAAGCTCACAAACGGCCTGTGGTGCCAACCACCATGGTCCTTTCTCAGTCTTCTTCGACTGGACCCCCCTTAGAATATTTGTTTCACTTGGTTCTGGGACACGACACTCTCCGGGTCTCTTCCTGCCTCCCTGGCCACTGGTTTCATCCCCTTCCCTTGACGCTGGAACCCCCAGTCCTGGACGCTGTCCTCTGTCCACACTCACTCTCTTGGTGATCTCGTCCAGTCTCACGGCCTTCAATTGCGTCTGTTTAGTGAAGAACCCTATATTCTTATTTCTAGCCCAGACCTTCTCCCAGAAATATTTACGTGTTCCCATGGGCTGCTCAACACCTCCACCTGGATGTCTAACACATATTTAAAGTTGAACACATTTAAGACCAAACTCCTCATTTCCTCCCTAGTCCCTGCCCAAGCCTGTTCCACCTACCGCCTTCCTTTCAGGCACCTGAGGCCCCTCTCTCCCTCCTACATCCACAGCCAATCTGCCTGCACATCCCACGGGCTCTCCCTTCAATGCGAATCCAGGATCCTGCCATTTCTCACTGTCACTGCTGCCGCCCGGGCCGGGCCACCGCCATGTCTCCAGTTACTGCCACAGCCACCCAGCGGGCTTTCCTGCTCAAGTTCATTTCCTTCTCAGAGACCCGATGGCATCATGCCACCACTCAAACCCCTCTATGACTGTCTCACTCACAGTGAAAGCCAACTGTGTACCTCACCTGCTGGCCCACGACCCCATCACCTATAACTCTCTGGACCCCTGCGCCACGCCAACACTCGCCCACTGGTTTTTCTTCCACTTCGCCAGGCAAGTTGCACAGCAAGGCCTTTGCTCAGGCTGGTTCTCGGCCTGGAATGCTCTTCTCCCAGGTATCTCAATGCTCAGTGCCTCATCTTTGCTCACACGTCACTTTCTCAGTGGAACCGACTCGACTCACTCTTCAAAACTGCGATCTCCATCTCAGACCTGGCACTCTACTCCCCTTTACGGCTTTAGTTTTCTCCATAGTACATACTACTTTCTAACATGCCACACAGAATTAGCTTTTTAATTTATTGTCCATTTCTCCCAATTAGAATATCAGCTCCACTAGGTCTAAGGTTTTTTATTTTTGGTCTGAATTGGTCACGATTATAATTCTAGTCCCTAGAACAGTAACTGATAGTAGGTGCACGGTAAGATCTTATTGACTAAGTGAATACAGGGGCCCTGAGTGTTGTCTATTCTCTGTGTTAAAATAAAATGCAATCTCATTAATCTGGTATTTTCATAATTTTATAGCCTTGCTCATGCTATTTCCTTGAGCTAGAATGTCTCCTCTCCTCTGTACCTCTACCGAGGCTTAAAGCTCAGTTCGAATGTTCCCCTCTCCACTGCCTAACCTAATCACAATCACTCCCTCAGCTGGCGATTCGCCAAGCACTTACTTAGCGCTCACTATATTCAGGCACAAGCCAGGCACGGGGGCTACAGAGATGAGTAGGACACTGTCCCTGTGCTCAAAGACCCAGCAGGATTGCAGAGGCTGGGACTGGAGTGTGACCAGTCTCCCCTGGAACTTCCCGAGGGAAGGCGTGTCACAGATGACCTGGAGGTAGCAGGGACTGGAAGAGACATTTCATATTTCAGCTGCTAAACTGGGAGGCCGTGGGGGAGAAGACAACAGGTCTGGGACCCCTCTGAGTACTCCCATGAGGCAAGTACTAAACATTTGCTGAATGAAGGAGCAAGTGCAATACACCTTATGAAGAAACCCTGCTTTAATAATAATAATTAAAAAAAAATTTAATCTGGTGTGGGTATGCTTTTGGCCATTATCAAAATGGTGTAGGGGTCTTCACCAGATAAATGAGATATGAACTATTCTCTAAATAATCACCTCTAGCCCTCACCCACAAAT